CTCCATCCCGACGACACGACCCGTCTGGGACTGCCCGGACTGCCAGTCAATTGAACCCCCAGTCAACCACCCCTTTTTGAAGGCCGTTTCTCAGACCCCGGGCCCAGCGGCGGATCCTGTCACGGTCACCGGACGAAGGAAGACATGGAGTCGACCGGGGTGGGTCGTACTACTCCATGCAGGTGGTGTTTCTTTGAAAGGAAGAAGAGCGATGGCCTCCAACCTAAGAAATGTTTTCTTGCGATACCTCCCTGATGGTACATGTTATTGTTTGTCAGATGCGAGTCTCAAGTCCCCAATGTCCCAGGCCCCTGATGACAAACAAAATGGGCCACCCTGCATATGGACGGCATTGATCTGGCCATATTTATTGGATTCTAGAAAATGCTGATAGATCGTGATTCATGGTCTGCGTACTGATCAACACTCACATATCTCCACATCACGAGCTAAGGTGAAAAGTCAGAATTCTCCAAGTCTTGTAGTTTTCTTGAAGCATTGGGCCATATAAGTGCCAGCTACCAGCTAGCAGGCAGCTTCAGCCGACAAAAGGATGGTTCGCTGCAAACCATGGAATCAGAATATAGGTCTATGATGGTTGTTTCGCGCCAGTGGCGAACCAGTTTCACCCCATTCTCCACCAATCTTAGATGGTGGGAAAGGCCATGGGCAACACCAGATGGACATCGTGACCTATGTTTTCTGGCTTTCTCCCACCTACAAAACACAGGTTCCCGGCCCAGGGTAATATAACTCCAAGGCACTGGATGGGCGCCGAGATCTGCAAAGAAGTCCCCGACCTTGCTCGGCACGCCAGGATAGTCTTGATGGTTTGAGCTACGAAGCTGAGGGAATCAGCACGGAAATCACCTGGCACAGGGATTTTTGTAGAACTGTAGAACCTGTGTTTTTCAAGTAGTCTTGGTGAACATGGTGAAAAGATCCAGCTTTCAAAGGAAGACCTTTGGACCAGAACCTAGCCAGCCAGCGGCCAGCGTGGGGCATGCCCCAAATGAACCAAATGAAGCACCCCATGCAGCTTCTTTCTCACCCCTGCATGGACATCCTGTACAAACAAGCGGTGAGCTGTGCAGACAACAGGGACATTCTTCGCTACGAAGTTCTCCACCTCCCGCGCGTTCTCCACCTCCAGCGTCACCCCGCGTCACCAATTCCGTCCTACGTGCGATACATGAACCATCATGAACCGCTCACCAAGTACCGCTCTCTTCGTTGCCCTACCCGTTCGGGTTCCAGTCGTACCTCCTCAGAAGGTATGACTGGACCCTCTTGGCACCCACCCCAAACACCTTCTTAGAAGGTACTTGGATCCCTATAGGGCTAAGAAAACCCGTTGAGCACCAAGTCGCGTGATCTACGAGGCGCACCTGTCCGGCACGGCGCCAGGCGCCCGTCAGCTGCGGTTTTGTCGGAAGAACCCGGGCCAGTGGGTAGCTGGCACTGGCTTTATGCCCTCCAAGACAAAATTTCCAGCGCAATTCCCAAGTCTGAAATGGCTTATAAGAAACATCCAACTGAAACACCACGTGCACAAGAAGTGTATGGGGAGATCCATTAGGGTGTGGGCTGATGGAACACCGATATGGAATGATCTAAGGACTTTGGTGATCATCCGAAAAAGGATACTGTGTGCAACTGCTTGTTGAGTTCTGGAGTGAAGTACCAGGACCTTCCAAGAGGTGTCTATAAATAGCCTCTTAGAGGTTAAGAGGTGTCCAAAAACCACCTGTTGGAAGGTCCTGGTACAAACATTCTTGAACATTCTTGAGCCTATCCAAGAAATCTTCATGTTTCTACCACCGAAGACCGCCGACCCCAGTCTAGGACGATGAAGCTGAGATCACCAGCGTGAGCGGCCGTCGTGATCCGGCGTCGGAGACCGCCGAAGCCCAAGTACCGGGAAGGTCGGCGTGGCCGGTTCGTAGTTGGTGGAGTGATGGGCTGGTGAATTCCCTTAACAAAGAAAACCTTACCCTAAATAGATACATCGGGGTGCCTGCAGTCCTGTTCGATGTGGGACCGCAGCCATGTCAGCGCTTTCACTTGTGGAGGGCCTTGGACACAAACACAACCTAGCTGCCGCTTGGCCAGTGGGGTCTTCATTGAAACGGTCCCACAGAAAGCCACAGAAGCCTCAGCCAGCACCGGAGTTTCTTCAGCTCCGACCGTCTGTTCGGCCGCACCTTCTGTGCTCCATTGAGCTCAACAGCGAAGTTGCTCATGCAGACCTGGTCAGCCATGGTGAGATGGGAAAGGTAAGACTCATGAGACTCATGCATCTTGAACTCTGGCTCATTAAATGAACCCCCCATAGGCACTGGATCCTGAAAGACCTTGAAGACATTGGCCAATTTCCGCTCGGCTAGCTTCCAGCTGCCAGCAGGCGGAAAAAAAACAAAACACGGCTGATATGCATGCTTTAACCCACTAACTCCCTAGGGATCCAAGTACCTTGTCAGGAGGTGATTGGAGACTGTTTATGTAGGTTTGGAGGGCCCAAGTATCTTCTGAGGACGTACTTGGATCCCTAGGGATTTCTTCTTCCTGAAAGATGTTCCTGTGCCCAGCTTTGTGATGCAACTCGGCACACCCGGAACGAGTTCCGGCATATGCGCAACCGGTCAAGCGCTGCGACGCAATTGCGCCCTTTAGTCATGACTGGGGTGATTTGGTAGAAACAAACCCTATACCACAAGAAGTGCACTGTACCGAATGCAAACTATTGCAAACTTGTTGAAACATCAAACAACATCAACCAACCATAATTATGTACAACATCAGAACCAAACGAAGCAACTACATGAAAGCGAGCCAGGACCCCGGAAGCCACAACCAACAGTTGAGGGAATCAAGGTGTGCAAGGAGCTGGCACTTCCCGGTCCAAGTCCGAATTTTCAGCAGGAAACGTCCATGATGAGGTGCTTTTCCCCGGGGGTAGGTCTGCTCGAGCTTTTGCCAGCACCTTCACGCTTGGAGCTTCTGCCTCTGCCAGAAATCCCTTCACCGGATGCCTTCACTTCACGGAACTCGGTTCCGTCTAGTCGTTCCCTCCGTTCAGTTCATCGGATTCTTCCGGTCATCGCATTTGTTCCATCGGCCACCAAGCATATCGAAGTGCGTGGCAAGCTCAAGGTCATCTGAATGAGCTGACGATGCGCCATACACAAAAAATGAGGCTCATGAGGCTGCATGGTAAGCCTCCGCCAACTTGAGGCAATCAAGCTGGGCTCATCTTTGTGTTGCGAAGCAAAACCACAACTCTTGCACACTCTTCCAGACATAAAACACACTGAGATTTGATTAGGACCGCCCCAAATCTCCTACTCAGCATCACTCAGCTACTCTTTAGGCAACAAACACGTGTTGATAGTGGTTGTCATGCAACAAACACGCTCAGTCTCCCAAGCACGGCTCCCGGATGATCCCGGGTTGGTCCTCGCCTGGAGGCCGAAGCCCATCGGTTCAGTCTGGACCTGGTGACGGGGAAGGCCCTTCAGGTCCGAGATGGAACCGGTCCCGGTGAAGTGGACCGACTCCCAACTCAACAACTCCCGCCCAGGGAAGCCCGACGAGTGCTTGAACCGGACTGACGAGGTGTTTCAAACGCCCGAAAGGGCCCGGATTCAGTACGTCCTCGGTACGACTGGACCCTCCTGGCACCTACATAAACAGTCTCCGTCCTCTCCGTCCTCACCTCCTGACAAGGTACTTGGATCCCTAGGGACTATGAGGATGGGTCAAAACCAGACCTTGGTGCAAACGACTTGGAGAACATCTGGTTGACATGACGAACATCGTTTGCTACGTGGTGCTTATTTTTGTGATCCATCTCCATTCTGTCCGCTTACGGGGTCTGTTCAATCCGGCCCCTCCAAGATCTGGAAAAACCATGATGGCGTGGTGTGTGTGTGAGGTTTTTCTCATGTTTTCTTCGATCGTGCAGGTCTCTACAGGCCTGCATGGCCCACAAGAGGTCGCTGCAATGGCACAACTGGGTGGTAGCTATACCCCACTTCTTTGGACGAGAACAACTATATTCCTCAGGTTGCGGGAATAAAGAAGTCATCACCCCAAAAAGAAAAAACAACACGATTCCCTAGCTGTCGTCTGTTCATTCATGTTCCATACTCTAGACAACCCCAGGCAGCCTAGGGAGAGGAGGTGTTCTGTGGAGGTCAGCCATTTGTGCCTGGTCTTGAAAAAGACCGCAGCAAACACACGGTGGCACCTCAAAGCCAAACAAAACTCCCCCAATACACAGGGCCAGCTTCGATCATCTGCAGTGACGCTTCGGAGATACTTGACCGTACTGTGACCAGGATGTCTACAACAGCACAGCCTTCGAACCCAAAAACACGAGCTGCTCCATTCTGTTCCCCTGCCATTCCGCCAGGCCATGACCTTAAAAATCAACATCCACTCAATCCAAATGGAACCCTTCTCGCGTGCCTTCAAGTGAAGCTCCATTGGCGATGGATCCTGTAACGAACTGGTGAATGTTGTTTTGCCGTCAAAAAGATACCATTTCATGTCAAACGTATTCGGAAGTCAAAGTGGTTGTTTCAACACGTCGACTTAGCATTAAAAAAAACAAAATGCAAAGGTGCTTCAAAACCAACATAGTTAACAGTTTTTATTGGACAGGCAGCAGTTTTATCATATAGGCATATAGCATCATATAGCTATAGGAATGAACACCCACGAATAGATCCTCGGCTGCATGTTTAACAATACTGAGATCACTTGCGCCACCAGACTCTGGCACATGTTGTTTCTCCACAACATCTCCTGAACGCACACTCCCTCCGAGAGGGGCCGCGCATGCGCTGCGCATGCAGCTGTCGGCGTGCTTTTTGCGCACCTATGCACCATGCTTAGATGGGCAGGGATCAGGCTCCTGAGGCCTTCAAAACCGGCCTCCCTCGTGAGCCCCAAAACCGGTTCAGACCAAGTTTGCCCGCTCAGCGGGGTTGAGCAGCTCACCTAAGATGGGTCGAGCGATCTTTTCTTTTCAAACCTTGGATCAGAAGGTGTGCAAGTGTCTTTTTCTCTTTTTCGGAGTCTTTATAGTTCTCATCCACCGCCAGCTAGTTAATTTTCCCTCCAAAATCAGCTGCTGGATATTATACAGTCTACAGCACCTCCTTTAAAAGCCTTTGAAGCTTGACGGGCACCGTGTCGCTTGGTGGTCGTGGCGCTTGGTATAGCTTAAGAAATGGAACCATCGTGAACCATCGTGGTCGGGCTGCCAGGATGACTGTGTACACCAAGCTGGGCTGGACTGGCTGGCAAGCTACCAGCTTACCTCCGGTTTTGGCTGGACTGGCTGGCTATGAACCCTAGGGCCTAGCCTAGGGCTCCAGTCGTACCTTCTCAGAAGGTACTTGGACCCTCCAAACCTAGATAACAGATGATAACAGTGTTTCCAATCACGGTACCTGAGAAGGTACGACTGGATCCCTACTCGGGCGACAAACGTCTGTCCTGAACCGGCCACCCAAACCATCGACCAAACTGCTGGGAACATCGAAAAAACCATCGGGTCCGTCGTCGTGACGTTCCCAATTTCCGATCAGAAAAGGGCCAAGCCAAGGTCTTTTCTTCTGAGCAACATCTTCGTTCGTGCAGATGAAGGCGTGAGGTCCTGCTAACACATGATCGTGTTTTGTTCCAAAATGGGATCCTTTTGGGGTCGGGCCAGTGGTTTTACTATCCTCATAGGCCAATTTTGCCTCCCACTGGGTCTATAGTTGGTTCTCATCCTACAAGCACCATCTGGAATGAAAGGATCACTTCCCTTGTTTGGCCTATCCATCTATATCTCTCCACTATAGGCCTCTCCACTGAAAAAGCAGCTATCTCCTCACCTTGCATCCATTCCACGTCCCAACCATCTCAGACGAAGGGGCGTGACCGGGTCTCCCTCAGAGGGCCTCATAGGTCTCATAGCAGGCTTCGATGATGGCCATGAGACCCACGATGAAAGCTGGAAACCAAATGGGAATCACCTCAGTTCTGGTTTTCGGTCACCAAGGCAGAAACGACGGACAGAAATGAGAGAGAGAAGGAGTTCAACTGGCATCAGCTGGAGTGCGTATTGCGTCGCGTAGTCATGGTATTGAAAACGCGATGAAAAATGATGAAAATATATTGACTCATGGACCCAAATGATCCCAAATGGACAAGTTGCTCAATCTCTTCGTATTGACTTATAAAATAAACCATCTAATAAGCTTTCGCATGCCTTCACCCACCTGATCACCATGCCATGTCAACCAAACCACTGTTGCATCCAACAAGAAGCAGTGCCCTCGTCCACCCCTATCCGTCTCGGCACCTGGAGAGCTTTCCACACGAAGTGAATCCGGCTCGCCAAAAAGCAAACGCACAGAGTGACGATGGACGCTGCAAAGATTCCCACCTCCGGGGAGAAAGATTCGGAGGCGTTTTTCCGAAAATGGGTTCGAAAACGAAAGCTGAGGTGGAGACCCCTTCACAACGGTGGAGACCTCAGAGGGTTGCATGTTGCATTTGTGGTGGCCATATCGAGAGAACCCCAGAGACCACCATTGAAGCAGTTAAGTCTCAAGAGTCCTTGAGGATCGAATGTGAGTTCGAGCTAAAGGACCGGAGAGGCCTTTTTGAGGCCGGAGGCAGCTTTCCGCCCGCCGAAGCCGCCAGGTGGAGCTCTGGTGTTCTCGAAACAAATTGAAAACTGGCACAGAACATGAAAGAACAACAGGAGTTACAATAAGGGATTGGATTTTTGTCTCATACGGTGAGTGGATGTGATAGAGCACTTGCCGTTCGGCACCCCCTTTGGACAATTCTATTGAAAACTGTACAGTACAGCATCTCCTGAGAACGTTCTTGGGCCCCTTAGGTCCAAATCACCTCTGATGCACCTAAAGCCCTTAAAATCCTTTAATAAACGCCGATACGGAAACAGTGGCGTCAAAAACCATGCCAAAAGTACTGTAGTACGTGTGGGTGTGTCTTTGATAGGGGACCTCCCAACCAATGCATGTCATCTGCTCTTGATATATTCCCAGAATTTCCCAGAAGTCTTCCGGGGCACTCTCTATTCTCATGCACACCCATGATCCACCAAACACCGCACCGCGCCCAAAACCAACGGCGGCCGCCTCCAGTTCGGAAGCCGTCACGGCGTGCGAGGTCAGCAAAGGAGCCTCAAGTTAGCGTCTGGCCGTCAGTTCTGTCCGTGAGTCATCCTGGAATCCGTATTTGACAAAACACAGGGATGAACAATCCACATTTGCTTGGTTGATTGACTGGGGGAAATGTGACTCTTATATATACTCAAACTTAAACCTTCCCTAAGAATCCGGGCCGGAAGCGGAACGGGTTTGCTCCGGGTCCAGACCCCGCGGTCCGGTGGCAGGTCCGAACCCTGCAAAGATATCGGGACCAAGGTTTCCTATAGGTTTATTTTATATCTAGTTTTTCAGGCAAATGCATCCAAAATGGTCGAGTCAACGTCTCATACCTGGATCCTCCTTCGGGCTGAAAAAAGTGCCGGACCTCAATCCGGCAAAGTTTTCCGCTGGGCTGGATTCCAAGCAAAACGCCGAAGGCCTAAAGAAACATCCGGATCCAAGATTCTGCAAGAACAGACAGGATGAAAGGTTGGATCATACACAAGCAACCTGCCTTTGCGCCACGAGTAGTTTTTCTGGAGCACAATCATTCCACAACACAACACTCAAGCCTTCCCGTTCCCATTGCCCTCGCCTATCTTCCGAAATGCCCAAGAGCAGAACCACCACATACCATCACAAAATAGAAGCAAACTTGTGCCCAAGCAAAGACTTCCAAGAACAAGCCAAGGAGTATGTGGCAAAGAACCCTCTTTTGCAAAGCGGGGTGCTCTCTCCAGGATATTTTGGTTTGACTCAGGAGCTTGACCCTCTAATAAACGTAGCAGAACTCATGGTTCCAGTGAAGATTCAGAACCTTCAAAAGATCCAGTCCGGAAAGTTGCGCCAGAGTTACGGTAAATTGAGCCGCAGTTACGACGCACCTGCTTTGCAAAACATTGCGATTCTGAACAACACAGGTTCCACAGCCCAAAACTTGTCCGGCAGGCTCTGCAAACCCGACATCCTGAAACAATGGGAATACATTATCGCCTATGTTCTTTCAGCTTAGGTACACCCACTTACGTCTTTCAACACGTGCATCGCACTGTGCCAAATTCATTTAGAAGAGCACCTAAACGGATCTGATTGAGCCAGTGTGAACCACTGCTGAAGCCGGTGGAATGAGAATACAGCGGAACAGGCAAACGAGCACACTTCGCAAGCAAAATCATTCGTCAGTAGTGGATTTACCCTCAAAGAAATGTGGACCACAAAGAATGCAAATCCTTGAGAATCCATATGAAGTGAATTGGAAAGCCGGACCAAATCCAGAAAAACGCCGGAGTTGGAAGTCCAGCGCCGGACCCGGTAAAACCTGTAACCGATACGGCGACACGAGGACAGAATCAAGGAACTGCATGACCTGGTAAGCCAGGCAAGTTCACATATAGTTATATATATATATTATATTAATATCCCCCCTTACCCTCTTCCTCCCAGCTTCTTTCCCCATCCCCCGCTCCTGCTGGCACCGAACCCGGTCCCTTCGCCATTTTTGTCACCGTGTCCTCACCCCAGCGGCGTAAATGAGAATCTGGTCGAAAGTGCCGATCACGGTGAGCAACGCGAAGGTGCCTCTCTCCGGTCGCGGACCGCGAGGAACCGCGCGAGGGTCGAAAGCCCTGGGGTCGCTGTTCGGATCGCGCCGCTCGCGCCGCGAGTTCGTGGTCGCTACTGTAAGGGGTGTTCTCGGATGGCACCAGGAGCTGCTCTGAGATGTTTTGATCGGACAGCTTAAGGAATATGGACAGCGTATGACAGCTTCACTGAGCTGCTTGTTGAGTGATTGTGAGTGATCATGTTTTGATTCTTAGGGGGTCCATGCAAAAGGATCAGCGTATCCACTAATGTTTGTCCAAGAAACTGACTGTGTTTATCCACCATAATTCTTCCAAGACATCCTTTATAACTTAAGAAGGCGACCTGTATGGTGCGGATCACGAGACTGAGGGATGTATGATATATCATCATTATATCTATTCCCCACCCCAAGCTGGTAGTTCCTAAGGAATCTGACTCAACAACCCACTCGAAGTCTTTCTCCAACATGTTCATGGCGGAATCAAGTTGATGTCCATCGTCCCAAACACGTCGTGAGCCGTTCCACACCGATCTGCTCAGGCCGTACCGGGATTCCTACAAGGGTCCAATGTGCGGGTGGCGCAAGGTCCGTGGACAACATCTCTGCATTTGGTGGCACCTCTTGGGGACTCTCAAGGTTGGCCCCCTTCCTCTTCCTCTTCCCATTCTGAACCAACCAGGGGGGCGTGGCCCATAGATATGGTTCCCATCCTTGAAGCGGACGACCTGGGGTTGACCTCCGAATTGCAACGTCTTTGGCTGTTCTGGTTGGTGCTTTCATTTCATGATGAACATATATGAGTCAGTGGGTTCCATCATCCCAAGCTTAAAGGTTGAACAACATACCCACTCGTAGAACATCTTTCATCCTTGGCTTGTAGGGCTATGTTGCCCAAAGAACTGCAGTGGATGATGATGAAACCATGGTAAAGCCATCACCCAATGCTTGACACTGGATCGACCACCCAACGAAGTCTGCGAAGTCTCGAACATCGACTCACTCATGCCCCGCCTGATCCGAAGCGTCGGGACAAGTCCTCTGGCTCCGACTTCTCGTCCTCGCCCTTCCATCTCTCCTGGAGCGCAGCTGCGTCACAATCACCCAAAGGGGTGTTTGAACAAACACCCGTGACAATCGATGTTCCTTGACCAAAACCAGCCATTGGGTGGGTTTTCGCTGCATGTCCTCTTTCAAAGAATCCGGGCCCTGAAGCCGGGCTTGCTGCCGTGGAGGGTCTAAGGATGTCTAAGGCTTTTATTGGTTGAACACAAGGTCATCCTTGCCACACCATGGAGGTCTGCACGTCAAGGCCCTCCCTGCGGAGGATCAGGCGAGAATCCTTTCCGTCCTTCTTCCTGGAGCACTTAACACAGCCAGCACCGTCCACCGATGCCGACACAGCCTACCGTGTGTGCCGGTTGCCCATGGTAAACTTGCCGGTTTTTGAGGCTTGGTCGGGTATTTCCTGGTCCAAAGACCAGGTGATTGGAGCAATGTAGGTTCCCATCGTGGCATCGTGGCATCTCTCGAGATGGCTCGACTTGAACTTGAGATGGCATCAACGGCATTCAGAAACACTCGCAAAGTAAAGCGCGCGTAATGCCGTTAAAGGTACAGGCGCAAATAAGGCTACAGCTACAGTAAGGCTTGGCAATCTAAAGTAATAATCCAAATGATAAGCCTTAGATTTTTACGCCCGCTGGAAGCGCACGAGACTTGTCTGATACAACTTACTGTAGCTGTCTCTGGATGTTGAAACCTGTGTTATCAGGTGCATGTTGGATACATTAAAGATCATTAAAGCATAAATATGCATTAACCTTGACCCATTCTCGGGAACGAAAGGGGATCGCTTCTTGTCTGTTCTTGGGTGTCTCCTATGTCAGGGATAGTCAGGCCAGTCATGGCCTCTTATCAGTCAAGCAAATCTGACTTGTCCGCCTCTACAGGGTCGTTTCTTCTCGGACCCCAATCCTCAATGAGCTGATGCAAGGCAAAGGTGATCGCAATGACTCCCTTGGGCGCTGAGGACGACGAGTCACCACTGCTCCTCTTCTTCCACCGATTCTCTGCTTACGAAGAGATGTGCGGGCAAACAGGTTGCGGGCCGTGAACAAATGTGGCAAACTCCTGTTGGCGGCGTTGAGCCATGCAAACCCTGCAATGGATTATGCAGGATCACAAGGATCAAAGGAGGAGTCGTTTCATGAATCCAATGGCAAACGTCCAACCCTTCCGCCCAATCGAACAAAAGGGTTGCGAGAATCAGAATGCAAATTCATGGAAAAAAGGGACGAGAGGGAAACACAGGGTGATATCAGGAGCCTAGCAGCGATCTCTGTGGTAGCCGCAGAGCTTGTATAGTGCTAAAGTACAACCAGCCCGCTTCAAGAGGTGTGTTGGTTAACACACCAGCTGCTTGTTCCTAGTAGCTACTTGCTCCTAGTAGTACGGCCAGGAGCCTCCTTGCTACTAGGACTAGTAGCGATGCTAGGAGCCCCTAGTAGCTTCTTGTTCATCATCAGCAAACCTTGGTGAAAATCAGCGTAAATGGATGCACCACCAGAAAACGGGGTTGCTCGAAGGCCATCATCATGTTGAGGTGTCCACCCGGGCAGCCAAGTGCAAATTGTGAGACTGAAAACCACCACCGGACCGTGGCAACACCATATTGAATCATATTGAATCCAAATCTCTGGTATGGCACCAGAACAACCAAAAACGGCAAAACTCTCTCTCTCTCTCCCTCCTCTCTCTGGATCCCCTTCCGTTTTGGAGCTATGGTCGCGACAGGTTGGTGGACCCCATCCAGAAGCTCCAACCTGGGCCTAGCCGAGAAAATAGAGGAAAGACATCTTGCATGAGGAAACAATCTGAGTGGGTTTAGGGTCTTTTCTCGATCGACCTGCGTCACTGCCCATGTGACCAAGGTGCTACGATAAAGTCGACCCAAATCTCCGGTTTCTCCACTGAGACCTCAACTCCGACTGAGCTCAGTAGTCCAAGGGACCCAGGAACGTGGTTTCCTGACAACTCTTTAAACGTGAAGGTGATAATATTGCGTCTTCAAAAGACTGAAGATCCATGAAGATCCAAACTTCCAACAGCTAGCAGCTATGTGCAGCTTCAAACCGCCAGACTAGAAGCTTGCTTGGTGTCTAACCTTGCAGCGGAGACCCAGAGGGACCTTCCAACCCAAACAAACAAATGCATCTGGTGAAGCAGTCATCGAGACACTCCACCAATCACATCCACCACAATGACCAGCGTCGCCCACAGTTGCGAGACAATCACAAAGAATGCACCGTTGCACAGTCCTGACCAAATAGGCGAGCTCACTCAGTGACCCCACGCAGATTCGGTGTGGTGGGTATACAGCCTAAAAAGATTCTAAAAAGGACCCTACCAGGACCCTCAGTCGGGGTGGTTTTCATGGACACCCCGAATCACAGCTATGGGGCTATAACTATAACTAGACACCCTGGACCATGGTTCCCCAACTCCCACCAGGTGGGGTATGGCCAAGGGCGCCCTTCGGCGCGGGGTGGCGCCTTGGCGTCGGCATCGGGAGAACCAGCCAAGAAACGACCAGGTCGAGCTGAAAGGTCGTACCTTCTTGGACCTTTCCGGTCTCTCTCAAGTGACCCTGTCTTCAATACGGTCTTACCCAAGTGACTACTCCAGCCCGGCTCTGGCCCGCTGAAAGATCCATGGACGGACAAGTGATGGCATACCAGCAGATCCTCTGTGGACTACCCCCTTTTTAGAAAAAACACACACATTCTTTATCACATTAATACACAATATTGCGTATTGGAATTAAGGATGGAATAGGCCTTATGGTTTTTTGGGAAGCTCCCTCGAGAAAATGGTCCAGTGCTGGCAGGAGAGAAAAACACATCGATTGGTTCAAGCCAAGGCTTGCGATCTCCGTTTTGAGAGTTGTCACCGTTTCCGTCTGGTCTGGCACTTCTTCCACTTCAGCTACCCTGGGTGATTCAATTCATGTCAGCTCAGAAATGTCACCCTGGTATCTCTCAATCCGCACCCCTAAGGCCTCTCGTTGTGTTTTGTATTGCGGTTTCGCACCGCCCTCACACATGCCGACACGGCGCTGTCGAAACGTGTCGGGAGTCGAAAGTCGTCGGTGCCGTTTCGTCGAAACCAAAACCACCACGTCCGGCATCCACCGTCCTGCAGCTCCCACCAAGAAGGGTAACATCCACAGCACGTCCAACAAATTCACCGTGGAGGCTGCCACGCCGACGCCTCGATCGACGGAAGACATATGTTTTTAAACGAACGGACGGTGTGCAGTGTGGTGCCTTCCTCCGCCCAAAAAGGTGTCCATGTTTTTATTTTGGTATAATTAATAATTAATAGCTATATCAATAAGTGTGTGCTGGTGCGCCGGACACGTTCTTCGTGTTGTTTCCTCCGTTTTTCGAGCTGTCCTGGCAGCCTTGAGTTGTAGAAGTGTTGTTTGAGAGGACGAAGAAGAAACTTGGGGATGCTGCTTGGAATCGTATATCCTGGGGGGTTAGCTGTCGAGCGGGTGAGTTGAGTTGATTCCACCCGTGAAAAAACAATCCATCTTGAAGGACTAGAAAGCGTCTGCATGAGGTTCCCAGGTCGTTGTTGTGGGTAGTCATACGAGTCATATGTCTACCCAACGCTGCATGTCGGTAGGTCAAAAAGCCAGCCACCGGCAAAGCATGTTCTTTGTTGGCCACTGTTGAGTGTTTTGTTTGTCTAGAAACCAAATGAAACAGCACATGTTTGGCCACTCAACCCTCTCCAACAAGAACATCTGGTCACCCAAAAGCCGCCGCCTGTGATGCTCACGAATTCTTGGAAGCCTCTGGAGCGCAGCCGCGCGATGTGCGGCACAGACCCACCGAAGAAGACCTCAGAGTTTGGTGGGAGCTTGGGGGAGGCAAAAGCACAAGGAGACAGAATCAATAATGACAGAGTCCGGCAGGCTGTGGAAGTGCACTTTTTCACCGTTCTGTAATGAAACAGCAACAATAGCAACAAAAAGGACTTCAGAAGTTCTGCAACTGCGAACGCAAAGGGAGAAGAATAGCGAGAAACATAATAAGATAAGTCAGGCACGTAACAAGAAGTGCACAGGCAACAATAGCAACCACAGCAAGCATACTCACAGGACACTGAACAACCTGCCAATAACGTCAGCTCCCCGTGATCCAAATGCACTGTCAGGCATGTCTTGTGTATCTGAGCTGCAGCGAGTCTTGGCCGTATGGATTCTGGAAAGCTATGCGGTTCGTCGACATCAGAACGGTTCGTCGACCCATTCCTTAGGAGACCGGCAGCTACATAAGTGTTGAGATTGATTGGCGCTCTGCGGTGCAGATTGAAATTGGCACATCTTCTGCCCGACCAACAAGGGCCTTTAGAGGCCCTTACATCCTGCCCTACGGAGCCCTTGTGACCCCTCACAGGGAACCCTGCAAGTCCCCTAATTATTCTCGTCCAAAGCACTGACAAACCATCCCTTGTTTGAGTTATATTATAATTCATGCAAACTCTTGATCAATGAAGCACCATCATTTGTCTCAACCCCCTCCTGTGTGAACCATTGATCCTTGTGCATTCCAAGCCCGTAATTTCCACACCACAAGCCTGCACAATCCATGGTCAACTAAGCCACCTTACGCCTTAACTTACGCAAGCCAAACTCGTCATAAGTGCATAAGCTTAAGTTCTGTGCATGGACAACAACCTTTCCTGTGCATAGTTTTGCAAAAACATGTATTTTGAGTAGGGCGTCCTTCTCCCACTGAGAAGGTGAACAAAAATAACACAGAGATGCCCTTTTGGCGACAGCCAAAACCCCCACCGTGTACCTAGAACTTAGAACCCATTTGACCCCTGTCTTGATAGGAAAACACATGGAACAAAATGGGTTGGCCCCCAATTACCCGGGGTCAGGTTCTAGGTTCTTCGAACCTTCGACCCATCAGGGAGGTTCGAAGTAACACAACAACAGGTTGGCCACGCGCTTGGCGCAAACAAAGCAACAAACAAACTAGTATACTAGTTAAACTACGTGTTGAAAAAAAACAACAACAAACATACCTAGAAGTATAGGTTGTACCATCGATGTGAAACGGGGATTCTGGGAGTTCTTCATGAAATCGTCCTGAAGAAGATCGCGCACGTGTTTCAGATCCAGGATTCCAAGGAGCGGACGTAGCGGGAGCGATCAGGAGTGAGGGAAGCTGCAAAAAGCTGGCATCTGCTTCACAGCTTAACTCCCCGGATGCCGCCGCCAACAGTGGGAGCAAGCATAAGGCGAAGGAAAACATGCAGGTCTCGATGGTCTCACGGGTCGTGACAACCCATGAGTCCAAGAACGAAAAGTCAAGATGAAGAGTTGCATCGATCCATCTTGATCCCAAAACTCTGTTGGAGGCCTTCCTTTTGGCTCACAATTGCAAACATGCGCCTATCGTTGTGAATTTCTACATTAATAAACAAATGGCCCTTCGCCTGTCCAAAAGGGGCAACTGTCTGAGGTTTTCATGCTTTGAAGGCTGTCCATCGGGTCCCTTTTGGAGGACCGAAGTCCTCTTCCATGTTGCCGGCCTTGAGCAGAGATGCCCGCGGCGCGAACAAACGGATGAAGGGATGCGAACATGACCCCCCCCCCAGCAGATGATCCTATGGACTCTGAGAATTGACCGGTGGTGTGACCCTTTTGAGGAAGACCAACCTGACGTGGTTTCCGGTGTCCATGTGGTCCTCTGCAAGAGGGTGGGTCAAATAAGAGAAAAAGAGAAAGAGAGAGAGAGAGAGAGCATGCACTACCGCAACCAGGAATGTCTTAGGATGGCCTAGGCGGGTTGGTCTTGGTATGTCTGGTTCTTGTTCTTTGCCTTGCGATCTATCGACCGGTCAACACCTTCAACAGCAAACTTGAGCGCCAACCTGTGGGCACATATGAATCAACAGATTGGATAAGGCAGGCAGTGCTTGCTGCATGGTCTGGGCGAGGAATCAAGGCGTGAAACCGAAGCACTTAACACGTTTTTGTCATGTCTCTTCTTGCTGACATACCTCAAACCACAGTGGGATTCCAAAACCTCAGGCTGATGAAATCATACTATATATTATATACGTTATATACACCTTGAACGCATTTGACCTCTGTTTTCACAAGAAAAAACCATATTTGGGTGGTTGGTGGTCCAAATTAGAGGTCCCTCAGGTTCTAGGTATATAATATATGAAATCATATGAAATCCATTCACAGTCAATGACCAAGCGAACCAACACATTGTGGATGATTCTCTGGTCTATAACCTATATAGCCTTTTTGTCCAAGAAATAGTCTGGGCATGTCTGGGCCAATCTGCCAAGGGCCACGTGGGCTGGATTCGGTCGAAACAAAAACGACCTTTTGAGAAACATACGGGCCAGGTATGCCAGGTATGGATCATATTTATCTTAGGTTCTTTGCGGGGGGGTGTATCCCCTTTGATTAATCAACCAACCAATAGTGAAAGGCCATACATGATAGAGAAATGAGATGCTACACAACAGGAACAACAACATCAGCAGCAGCAACCAGAACCACAACTCTTGTTGGTATCTGCTGGTCATGTTCCAAGCAAACTAAACATGCTGCTCATCCATGGGGCGACACCGCACAGGTGCTGGGCACACAGGTGGGCGCACAGGGGGTGCCAAGGCAAACAAAACGGTCGTTTCACTGGGCAAGTGCTAGTCTTTGGGACATGATTCGGCTCTATTTCATATATATATATAGGCTAAATCCCCTATTTCACCAAGCTCCATCCTAGACTTGCCTCCCAAGCTCCTACGTGCCAGGCTGCGCACGGGGAGTTCCCTTAGGACCCATCTGTGCAGAGCTACGAACACCTTCGGTGGAGTTTGGTGGGGCGAACTACCCGAACACCTGGTCTCCTGGACTGAACTCACCTGCCGGTTCAAAGACGACTCCCCACCGGACTGGACCAAACAGTCCTCACCATATGCCATCAAGCGGACCGAAGCTGCAGCCTGAGCACTGAAGAGCACTGAAGTGCCCATCCAGTGCTGAGGAGGTTTCAACATGTTGAACAACCCGAAGCACTGCATCCAAAACATGATTTTGAAATCTATAAGTCGAAGCAAAAACCAGCCAAGCACCTAATAACACATTGCCACACCAACGTGTTCCGTGGTGTCAAAAAGCACCAAACTGGGTCGGCACGCATTCCAGTTCGGCCGAAAGATCGTAATATATCTCTCCAAAACTAGGTGATGATCTTTGTGCTGAAAAGAGTTTCTCCGAGCACTTGAAACTCTCCGGACCTATCCCAAGAGGAACGACGTCAGACGTGATGTGGGGTCCTCTCGGTCCGGTGCTTCGACCAGTTCGACCGGCAACGATCTCCGTGAAGCCATGGGCACCAATCAATTGGAGTGGGGCAGTTTCAGGGGTCTGCCTCAAAATCAGATACTGCAGTCCCATAGGGTCCCAATGCTTGAGCGTTTTCAGAAATTCCCACCGGTTCGCCCGGTGGAATTCTCTGCGTTCCACGCCACGAGGGGGCCAGGCCCATCGTCCTCACCTGCCATGGTGAAGAGGAGACCTCCTAGGTGAAATAAAGGACTAGTGAACATCCTCATGAATCAGCATCCTCACTGCCAGGTCCAATTGAGACCTGTTCAGGCCCAACCCTCTAAACGAGACCTGGTGGATGCTGCCTCTACCTTGGGTTTGAGAGCTTTTACCATGATAGTAGGTTCAAAGTAGACTGTACAAACCAAGGTGTTTGAGCTTGGAACAATGTGTTTGAGCTGACCGCGCAATCTACTCTCAGTGTGCTGAATGTGCTTTCGCAATGATGGATGCTCCACTTTGTAGCAAAGTGATTCTTGGTGGTCCTACTTTCATTGTCAAGCAAAATCCCCATCATAAAGGGACACAAAAATGTGTCTCCTCCCTTTCTTCCGCAAACAAGTAAAACTCTTTTTCATAAGCACACGCGCCTAGGCTGGGTGAGCCAACTTCTCCTACGTCCAATTGCCAACTTCTCCAGAGTAACAGATGTACCAAACATCACACTTGCAGTGGGTCACTCTGCGAAACATCATGTCTATGTATTAGGTTCTAATCCTACTATTAAATGTAGAATGTTGATTCATAAAACCCCCCCCATTTGGAATGCAAAACCCTCTTCAATATGGTGGGGTTATTAATCAACAGTACAATTAAAAATTGTTTAATCGTAGTTATATAGTAGTTACAATCTGGGTGAAGAATTCCACTTGGCTTTTTCAACCACCCCCCAAACTGATGGGCAGTCCAATCCCGTCTAACCAATCCGTCGGCAGAATCGTCTTCTTTTTTTCCGCTACGCAATTGTTGCTCCATTTGATGTTGTCCATTCACACTCCAATAGACCAGCTCCTGAGCTGAGTCGGGCCGCCCGTTTTCATGTTTTGTGAGGACAAAAGGCAAAACACAGCAAAAAGACCGGCTCCACACATCTAAGAATTCTCAGACGGTCCCTTTTCTGCTTTTTCCTCTGACCCTGTGGATAAATCGATGAGAAGTGTCAGTCATGCGGCATGCGGATTTAGCACATGCTTGTTTCAGGCAGGCCCATTCAACGAAGCTAGCACCTACATTGATCCAAGAAGCCTGAGACCCAAGGAGGTGTGCGTCCAAAGAAGGAAGGATCAGGATATACTCTTTAAATTTGGAAGGACCTCCAGTAGGGTTTTGTAACTTGTAACAATCTCTGGTTGAGCACTTTCATGTTCCAAACAGCCACCAAACAACTGCCACTCCGTCTCCCAGATTGACGTCGATCGTGCGCGACTACGTCGGGCGCCAAGCGGCCAGGTGTCGCAAGGATGGAAGGTCTTGAATTTGTAAACTTTCTCGAGGCCTTCGCGGATCTCTGCGGAGGGTGGAACACCCAGGACATGGTCTGGGTCGCTCCCAAAAGTAGTGGGTAAAAACCGGCTGTGCAAACACAGGACATGCTTCTTCCGAAACAGCACCTGATGTGTTTGTCACTGTCACAGTGTACATTTCTGTAGATGTTGAGTATCCATTAGTATCCCATCACCACTGAACTGAATGACCAGAAGAGACCTCAGCTCAATCGATGTGACCACTAAACCCCGCCTCCCCGAGGCTGCAAAGCGAAGGAGGTCCAACCTGGGGAGCTGTGGAAGAAAGAAAAGATCGTCATACAGTGAGTGTATATTTACATACCAACAGAGGTTGAAGAACCCTATAGACTATCCCATAGGTACCCCAGTAAGGTCCTATATGGTCACTTAACCCCTCTTGGTAGTCAAAGAACCACTATACTCCCAGAACTTCCGTTTTGACTGAACTACCCCACCTGGTAGTCAATCCATCCACCACTACCAGTTTGGGGTAAAATGAGCTTCTTCAGTTCGTGAGCTTTTTGGAGTTCGTGACCAAGCCGATTTCTGGCCCTGAGGTTTAGCCTCATAGCCTGGGATACATATCAAGTTCGGTCGTTGTTCAGAGCCCAATGCATTTTGCACAAGCTTTGGATCTGAAAACCAACGCTTGGATCCTTGAGTCTTGAGATTCCTTTTGGGACACCCTTCGGAACCAAAGGGTTCTATTGGATGGAAACGAATCGCCAACCAATCCTCACCCGGCTGGACCCGGCTGGTGGAGATCTGGGGAGGTTTCTCAGTCGACACATCTGACCAGGTTTGGACACATTGTGAGCCACTGAGTCCCGACTCGAGTCCGGACGAGCGCACCATAGGAATCTGCCGGACGGCCCCTTGTTGAAAAGAGATATGATATATATACCAGGACCTTCCAACAGGTGGTTTTTGGACACCTCTTAACCTCTAAGAGGCTATTTATAGACACCTCTTGGAAGGTCCTGGTATACATAAATATAAGATTGTTCAGTTCTGTATACATTGTCTATGATACCAGTGGGGGCAAAGGTCCATGTGCATCCACTTTCTCCAAAAAGGACGACATTTCTATCACTCAATGGTGCACCGCTCGCCTGGCTACGCCAGCTTCGCGGTCGGGCAAATGGATCACATTGGATCACCCTAATGTAGACCGTTGATTCATCGTCCCCCATGCCTAGGGATCCAGGTACCTTCTCAGGAGGTGATGGCAAACACTGTTATGTAGGTGCCAGGAGGGTCCAGTCGTACCGAACCTGAGAGGGTACGACTGGATCCCTAGGGCCCTAGGGCATTTGGATTGTAAAACCCTGCCGGTCCGGTTCAAGAACGAAGTCGGGTCGGAGTGACGTCGTAGTGTGTTTGGAAGGTCTTCCCGGACCCAGTCTAAGTCCTTGACCAGACCTGCTGGCAGTCCCTCTTCTTATTGGAGGTTGGATTCCTCAACGGCCGTCTACATGATTTCCGGGCTTTGCATGGCTTTGCTCCGCTCAGCTCGAGCTCAACAACATCCGGATGCACATCTTGGTCGGGATCACGTCCTGCGGATGTGCACGATGCAACGAATGCGTGGGGATGTAACGAACAGCCGAAGATCTGAGAAACATCCACATCCTAAGATGTTGCTGATTTGGTGGTGCAGGGGGAGAGGGATGGAGATGGGGGACTATGGGGGCAGTGGGTGTTGAGGACACGGCGGCATTCGGAGTTTGAGTAGGACACCTTCCGATCATAATCATCATAGGTCCATCATTGGTCATACCCTAGGGGTCCAAGCACCTTCTCAGAAGCTACAACTGGATCCGCAGGGATAGGTCCATCATGAAAACCGTTGGCGGCGATGTTCACAGGTCAGATCCCACCTGTTTTTGGGGGGAAAAACGCCTCGACGGATTGAACCCGCATCCGCTGAGCACCGGACTGGGCGAGGTGAGGGAGACGACGGGTACCCAACCAACGCGCAAAAGCTCCTGGTCCTAGTAGCTTCTTGCTCCTAGTAGTAAGGCCAGGAGCCCCGTTCGTAGCGTCCGCTCGCTCCGTTCGTAGCGATGCCAGGAGCCCCTAGTAGGGTTCTTGTTCCTCTACCTTGGATTAGCTGATTTAGTTATTTTCTTACGCAAAAGCATCTTCCAATCTTCCCCAGGTTCATTCACACATAGGGAACACAACAAATCCACGTGATCCGCCCAAATGGGCCTCCCGTCCCGCTGTGGAAGGCCGTTCGGCTCGGCGTCCTGCGCCTCGCAAATGAAGTCAACTAACGCCCTCGCCACACCACTCTCAACTTCAAGAGAGGCCGAGATCAAGAGACCTCAGAGACCACCGACGCAGCCGACGCAGCCGCGCCCAGAAGTCATCAACCGGCAGAACGACTAGTGACTAGAAGTCTCCGAGGTCCATGGCTCCATACGTCCCGAAGGGAAGGGCAGAGACTGAACTGCCCTGCCCGAACGCAGCGAGTCCATCCTGTTTTGAAGGGCAAAACATATATTTGTATATACCTGGAACTGGAACCCAAACATGACAGGTGTGTGTGATAGGGAAAAGACCATATTTTGGGTGGTTGGTGGTCCAAAAAAGAGGTCAATCAGTTTCCAGGTATATAATATAGGGAATCAAGTTCAGCAAGAAGGCTTGAAACACTGGACAAGACCAAGAACTCCCTGAATCAGTTCGATGAATCCATATGAATCCCAAGAACTCCCTGCCATAAGACATCAACAACAACCATCCGACATCCTGATCTTCCGCGGCCGCGCCCGGAAGTACGCGAGTCGCCGCATCCTTACGCGACCTGGCCTACAATGGGAACCAAATGCGCGCAAGCCCACTGGAGCCTGAGCACCGTTTTGATGTTCAACAACAGGGAGAAGGGTGGGAGAAGGAGGTGGACGTCGGACAACTATATAACTAAGGAGCCGCGAAAGCAGTGAAAGCCTCCGTCAAAAGTCTCATCCAAGCTCTGTTACAACAGCATGTCTGTGAAAACTACTGTCTCTTTCGTGTGTTGCTTGTTTGGGGCTACATATGTCGAACCATGTTGCAACCGTAGGTTTCTGGCAGTTTTCTCCAGTTGAAGCAAGCAGTAGTTTGGCAAAATCCAACTGAACGTGCAACAGTTTTGTGTTTCTCCAAAATGCGAATACTATACCCAAACACTCCATGAGTGCAATATGTTTACCTAGCTTGAGGTGATGTCAGGTGTCAATGTAGGTTAATATTCCACACATGGGGGTGTCTGAGGAAAAGAACAAATCACCACCACTGGTGCCGCACATGTCGGATTTCATCACACCCACGTGCTCCATCCGCACCAATGATGTCCTTTTTGGAACAATATAGTGGATTGAGAGTAGATGGCACAAACCCCAAGAAGTGGTTTATATGGATCCCCATCTAAAGGACATCATGGGGTCTGTGTCATCTACTCTGAAACCACTGTAGTAGAGATATCATGAGATATATCTATTGGTAGTTCACTTGGTGGCATCCCCTCTATTTGTTCAACCAGTATAAGGCCATCTATGATCCGCACCTTTGGTGTTTCTTACTACAACCCTCCATCTGAGTCCCTGCCAAAGCGCTGGGCTGCCTTTAAGAGACTCACGCTGGTGAACTCCGCCTCACGCTGGGGGAAACGCTGCCGAGGGAAACACTTTCGCTTTCGCTTCAACAGCAAGGGAGGGCCAGGAGGGCTCCAGATTGGAAGGCCTGCTGGGCCGCCAGGCCTCATACCCTCGACAGAGGGTAGTTGCTGTGGTTATACCCTCGAGATGTTGGAACAATGAATTGGCCCTGCCAGGGAGTCCTAATTATACCTGGAGCAAACGCGGAGAAGCCATTTTTGGGTGGAGCGCTTTGTCGTACGCTTCGTCAAATTTTTCCACATGTGCTCAGACGGTGCTCTTTTCTCCCAGAAGATGTCATGATATCCGAGGTATGCACTGAGAAGAGCACTCGTCGCTCCTACTTCCGTGGCTGCAGTTACTGCTTTTGTAGCAGTTCCAGTGTTTCAGCAACCACTGACACAGAGGCATCGTTTCAGCCTCAAAAAAGGAAACGCTGTCCCGCTAGGTCTGGGCGGTGCTTCTGAACGTGATGCTTTCACTCAGGTTGATCCAAAACTAGTTGAGGATGGTGGATGGTGGCGTTTCAGGTAAAGTTCGGCATTGGAAACTCGAATGTATTCGACATCTGGCTTTCCTGCCAGTTTAGCAAAGAGGTGATCCCCATACAACAAATCAGCAAGCTGGTCACCACGCTGCAACCTCACCACAGTTTGTGACCCCTCTCAAGGCACAAAAGCTGTTTCAGGGAGGTTGTAAGACTAGCATATACTAGCATGTATATATATATATACTGTATATACATTAGACCGAACATTAAGCTTCAATACAATAATATATATATAACAAAGTTTCGCAAAAGTTAGATCATTCAAGACTCTTAGTCCTTTCAGTCATGTCCAAAATCAGCCCCCCAAGCTGCCCTGAGTCCACCCTGCCCAATCATCATTTTTGCTTTGCATTGCTGGCTGCAAAAATCATGCCGTGGGACAGCCTTCTTTCTCGGCTTGAACCCACGACCAACAAGTTTGTCCCTTTGGACCTGAGTATTTGGCATAGGATCCCTTGGTTGAACCACGTTGGAAACATTCAACTGTCCATTCCCCACGCTTCTCAGTTCTCACAACATGGTTTTTCTGTTTTTTCTTTGGAGCAGCGGCTGAGGACGGCTTCTTTTTCATAATGGGCAACCCAAAACCACGTGCGGTCACCTTAGGGCTCTCCCCATCATCATCATCAGCATCATCAGCCACTTGCTCCTCATTTGAGAGCTCCTTGAAGTCCAAGGACGGTCGCCTCAAAGCAGAGGGTCGTTTCAACACAGGTTCCCGTTCCTCTTCAACTTCCTCCTCGTCCCCCTCCTCATGTTCATCCTTCTCATTTTCCTCCTCCTCCTCCTCCAGCAAAGCATCTGCCTTTTTCTTCTGTTGCTGATCAGGTTTGCCAGACTTGTGCTTCTTCTTCTTCTGGGTGGCTGATGAACTAGAACGATTAGCAGCAGGACGTTTCATTTTCGTAGCACCTGCCAGGTTCAAATTTGATTTAAAACCAGCGAACAATCCAATCATTGCATTACCGGTGAATTAAAATTTGATCCATCCATCTGAAAAAGGCAGAAAATGCAAGAAACATCAGGGACAACACTTTCCAGGCCTGGATCACCAGTCTCAGTCTGATCATCCTCACCACTCGTTTTGCCGCGACCGCGACCACGACCACGACCGCGACTTCGCCCGCGACCACGACCGCGACCTTTGACACCTGTGGCCGTGGTATCGTCTTCTCTTTCTGGGTCAACCGGGGTTTGCTCAGGATAAGACTTCAAGATCCCACGTGGATGTGAGCCACTGTGTTGCCCACTGCCAGAAGCACTGGAAGCACGTGGTGATGCTCGTGGAGGAGTCCGAGTTTGCCCAAGGCCACTCAAGATAATGCCCTGGACATCAACATCAGACTTTAATGTGATCATTGGGCAGGAAAATGCTGGAAAAAATCTTGGGCCAACTCTGCCTCCAGAATTCGTTTTAAGTGCACCAACCCTCAACCCCTTTGAACATACTTGATCCCAAACCCTCAATGCAATGATTGTCCTTCAGGCCTCCAGCCTAGAATGAATGCACATGTCGAACGTAAGACGGCAACATCACAATAGCCGCTCAAAGGTGGCAGCCTTTTCCCGGCATCCCAAACAAACGTCCCAATGCCGAATTTGAGGATCTGTCAACTTTAATTTACTGTAAGCTGCCACTTCTTATTAATTTGATGCAATTGGCACTGTCACACATCCAGTCAAATTAAATCTAGGGCAGGCGCGAGTACAGGTCTGCTAAGAGTTCTCTCAAATAGTCTAAGACCTCCTTCACGCTGCTGGAATCTAAATCATGGCTACAAATCTGCAGGATGCCGTTCAATGTTTGAATGGACAGCCTGATTTGACATTTCCATCTTCTGGCGGTGCCCTCAGAAGCAACCACAGAACGCAACCGGTCAAAGAAGTACTTTTCTGGTCGAGGTATTCGACCTGAACCAGCATCTACACCAACCCAAGCATGGGCAATATCAGCGACCTCCATCCTGGAAAGGTTTCGCACAATGGTGAAGAGCTGGATGCCGGCACGGATCTGGGCCACATCATCCTCCAAGTCACAGTACAAGGCATTGGTCTGAATCTCCAAGAGTTGCTCTCTCACAAGCTCGAAGGACATCTCTGCCATCTCCTGAGTTAAGTGTAGGCCACACTTGCCCACCAGCATCTCATAGAACCTCTGCACATCTGTGCGCTCGAGCTGCTGAGGCGCCGCCATGAACAAAGGCTACAAATTGTAATCCTAGCCAAAAATATCTGTCGGTCAATTATTTTGTAGCACTTCTCCAAACACCTAAAGTTAGGACCATCCAATCAAGGTGCATGAGGCCTCTGCAGTCCCAACCCCAAACCCAACTCCAAGGCTGCTGCTCTCTGAGCCATTGCCCAATGCATTTTTCCACGGTGGCTGTCTTTCGGTGGACCCTAGCAAGGCTGCAAGCCCTTCACTTGTCCAATGACTTGGCAACCCATATAAACAAACAAACTGAAACATCCTCGCAATTTGATAGCCAGTTAACAGAATGTATAAAATGTATCAATGTTTAAACCAAGTCGTCCCCCAGTCTGTGCGCATACAGTTTCACTGTATGCTACTGCCCCATTCAAAAACGACAAGCGGCTATGGCTTTACCCTGCAGTGGCCCAGGCATCAAAAGCTGTTGCACCCTAGAGCCCTGATGCACAAACATGACAGATCTGAGCTGGAAGTTTAACGCTAATTTTTACACATAGTTTAGTAACAAACACAATGATTGTCAAAGAACGACTCTGTGCAACTATAGAGAGTCTGCCTGGGTTGCGCAACTACCTCAAGTCATCCAAACTTGTGATGGAAAGCATTGACCCTGAGCATGAAGTAGACAACAAAAGGGCAATGAAGGTTGCTGCGCTCCCCCTATGCAGAGATCTTGAGAGGCTTCCCCTTCTCAAGACAGACACCAGTTGTGCAGATCAAGTAGGGCTTTTGCACTTTGAAGGTGCCCCCCCACTCTCTCAAACCGAAATCGGAAACACTTGGCCACTATTTTGCTTGAGGTGACTGCATTCATTTTCTGGCCGAATATATTCTTACAGTTCACACGGCTGTCCTCTGCCGCAGTGCGGGGGTCCTTTGCCTTACAAAATTTCATGGCCTGCTTGATGCTGATCTCAAATCCATCGGTCCCTGCCTCCACAGCAGCGTCTGCCTTGCGCGTGACTTTCAGCCACGAGACAGAGAGGCTTGTGATGTTCTTCTCTTGTTCTGCCAACAGCAGCATCTTGTAGAGGGACATCGTGGAGATGCCACTGCCATCTGTCCTGAAGGTTGACATGTCCAGCTGCACTATAGCTGAATCATCGGTCAAATTGAACTCCAAGCCCGGCTCCTCATTGGCCGTTGGAAGGTATTGCCCTGTCCCAAATCCCCCAATCTGACTGTGGCGAGGAACAGTTTTGTTTCCCGTTGGGGCCACAAGCCAAAATGACTCATCTTTCATCATGAGGATCTCCACCCCACTGACCTCGCTAGCTGTCCGATGAGCCAAGCCGCCACACTGCTCTGTGAGTTTCTCCACAGACTCCACTGTTTCAAAGGCCTGTGATCCATTCGCATTCTCTGAAGGTTGATTGGGAACCTCCGATGCCTCGCTTGCTCCGGCAGGAGTGGCCGCAGGTTCTGAAGCGCTGGCGGAGTCACCACCGATAATGTCAAGGTGGTGGTCCCAGAGCTTCTGGTAGTCGTCCGCGTACTGGCCAAGCTGTGAGGTCCAGTAGATATGTTCATCGTTCTTGATCATCATTCGGTCCTGCACGCGCTCCAGCATTGTGAACTGTATGGAGTCAAGGCCTCCTAAATGGGCAGCAGCACCTGGGATGTTGTTGATCTCGGCCTGGCTGAGGACTGGCTCCTCTCGAGAGAATTTCTGGCCACAGTGTTGGAACTTCTCCGCCACCCAGCCGTCCGCAACATCCCGAAGCAAACGTGCTGCTCCAAACTGGTCTTTGCAAAGCCACGAAATGGAGTGATAAAAGAGGTTCCCGGTTTGGAAGCCTCCTGGCAGCTTCTCATCCTTCAGCCTCAAATCAAAAGCCTCAGTCAACTGACTGTAAACTGTAAAATTTAGAATCACTCTTTATCTTAAAGGATCTTAAGGGCAATTAAAGGCACCAACCCGTACTATATGCAAATGAGAATTGACTGACATCTCATACAAGACAGGGCATCCAGTGCAGCTTCAAAAGCAGCTAAGGAGGAAAATCAGTCAACTACAAATTGATTCCAACTCAAAGCAAGTAGCCGCACATCCTGCGTCTTCAACGTACCCAGTCCAGTTGAGGATGATGATTGGCTTGTTGGTGAGGTCGTAGCCGTTCATCGTGCATAGGCTTCTCAACAGCACTCGCCAACGGTCTTTGCCCTTCTGAGCGCACACGGTCTCTGGACTTGGCCGTTGCCGCTCTGCCACTCGAATGCCATCATCAGCTCCCAGGGCTTCTGGTAGCACCAACTCCCGGCTCAAAGGCATCAGGACACGATCCTCTGACAGTGGCCTTCCGGCCGTTCCGAGTTCTGAATGCAGCAACCAAATGTTCTTGTCCTCGGCATCCTTGTTGACTGCAAGGCGACCCTGCTGGAATCGCCTCAACAGGACGCTTGAGACATCACGAACTGATCAAAAACCATGTGGCGTTCCCCCCGGTGAAAATTAATAAGATCTGAGTCATGCCCCGTGAACAGTTATAGATAGCACAAACAGATAGTTTCCTCACAGTGAAAATATCTCGCGACCCACTTGAAACAAACGAGTCGCTTCCCTTTGGAATTGTTCTCTGCCGATGGTTGTAGGTCAAAAGGTAGAAACCATCTATCGTCGCACACCTGGCGAAGGCCCCACAACTTCTGCTGGAGGTCAGCCTCTTCGTCACAGATGCCTCTCTTGGAGGACTTTTTGGCCATTTGTGGAATCTCTATGACTGCACAGTGGGTGGCTGGAGAAATGTCATTGATGAATTGCACCATCTTGCACAGCTCATCCAAGTTCTCCTTTGCTTTCGCGAAGGGCACATTGAGATCCACAAGGGACACCATGTGGATGTCCATGATGTTGCATTCACACTTTCCAGCCTCAGCCGATCCCAACGAACCCTGCCCAAGGTTAAACTTT